AGAGAAGAAGAAGAAGAGAGAGAGAGTAGAGAGAGAGAGAGAGAGAGAGAGAGAGAGAGAGTAAAAGAGTTAAATGTCCGATGTCGTTTAGAAAAAAGAGACTCCTTCGCTAGGACGTGTCAACACATCTGAGATAAAGTGGGAAGAGGAAGGGTAATAGTTCAACGACAGAATCTCACTGATCTCTATATATCAGACGCGGCAGTGCCTCATCGACTGCATCTTCGCTCGTGTGAGCGCTAAAATTGAAACCGGCATAATTCCGATCGTCTCCGAGCAGCGTTATGTAAAAGCGAGTTGATCCATGAAATAAAAAAAAAATGAGTTATACACACAACTGAGCCAGCAACATGAAACTCTGCATTTCAAACTTAATTTACTGATAACTACTGCTTGATGGGTCAACTCGTTTTTTCGTAACACCGGTTATAGATATACGCAACCGGATTACTTTGTCGCGATACTCGAAATGCAAGTGGAAATCGCGAGGAATATTTTACCGCATTGAAATTATACCAGCTGAAGGAAGACGACATATAGCGATCAGTGATGAGTTTACCTAACGCGCCGCACATCTTTTGCTTCCCGTCGTCGCCCGTTCCTTTTTTTTCCTTTCCGTTTCTCTATTCGGTGCGCTTAACACACATATCTGCGCGTGTACACAATAGTATACATATATTATATATACGTATTAACAGAGCGAGGCTCTCTCCGAGGAGCGACCATAACCCTAGGCAAAGTTCACGCAGTCAAAAGGCACACATTTGCTGCTCTAGCTACATTCCCGTTCGCTCGCGCGGGCCAATTACTATTCTCGGTTGTAACCACTGTTAATTCGGTGGTGGAAGTGTTGCGTCCCCATTATATGTGTGTGTGTGTGTGTGGTGGGTGTGTATGTGCGTGTGTGCGTGTGTATGTGTTGTGTATTAGAGCGCGCGAGCTTTATTTGAGCACAGAGTTGAGCTTCGTAAATGAGTGATTAGTCGATCAGACGGTTATTCGCTGGCATATTGTTGTTTGCTAATCAATACTAGAAATTTTATTAATTTCTGATGAGAAACGAGTACGCGTAAGTTACGGAATGGTACATACAATTAACGTAAACTCTCTAAATTTTATTTTAAACGAAGTACAAGCATTGAAAATACACTAATTAAAATAAGCTTCTCATAATTTACCAACCGACGCAAATGCCGTCGTATTCGCGCAGGCAATCGATATGCTTTAGTAATTTATTAATCAATTTGTTAAACATCTGATAGGTTATTTTGTGTAAAATAAAGCACTAATTAATGGAAGCAATTAATATACGGTGTGTAAGTGTTTGCATCATGAAATATTCTGCTACTTTAAAACATGATAAATTATTAAAATTATTTTCTTCAGCGCGAAACATTAATTAATATTGCAATTAAATATTATATAAAAGATGCTTAGTAAACTTTTGCCTTCGAAATCTCTCTCCAACGATTATCACGCTTTAGACCAATGAAAGTTAGCTAAAATTCATTAAATACAATTAGGTTTCATTCACTAATTCACGATTCGCGAAGCACCACGTCCGTAATTAATTATTTCAATTACTCATTATCGCCAAATCTCTGATTGAATTTGAGTAAATTAAATTGATTAGTTTGTCAAAGTACATAAACACCTTACACAAATAGTTATATTAAATGGCACTAAAAAATTTATTTTAAATTTAACAAATTTCAAACTTTTTAAATTACAAATTGTTATAAGTATCTTTGACTTTTTGAAATGTTTCTCATAGAAGTAAATCGTTTAAATATCTAGAAGTCAATTAAAATAATTACAATATAGTTCTTATCGGTATAATTTAAATTATTTCCTGAAAACTTGGACGTGGAAAACTTACGACGGATAGAATGGAATGCAATTTCTCTTGATTTTACTTATTTTCTGAAAGCATGCAAATAAATATTGTTATAACAATAAATTACTCAAAGTAAATGTATCTCCCATTATGAACACAATAATTTTCAAAACAAGCATCAAATAAAATATTAAAATACAAATAATATTTGATTAGATATTTTCGTGATTTTATCAGAATTTACATCTGCCAAAATTGATATTAAAAATTGCGTAGAATTTAACTTCTCATTAGTGAATAAATTGTTAAATCTTTATGTCAACATTTTTTTAATTAATCTTTATCTCGTAAATTAAATGTCTAAATTTTACAGGCAAACAAACTTTCATTTATTTATTTAAATCAAACTAGGTTTTTACGGCGGATTATTCTAAAGCTCTCTTTTAATTAATCTATGAAAAGCTATAACAATCTGATTCGATATAATCATTCGCATGTCCGAACGCAACTCATTGATCGAACCGCATAGTGCTGTATTACATGCGTGTTCGATCGTCTTGCTCGTCCGATCGAGTGTCGTCTATACACGCGCGCGCGCGGTGTATTGCCCGTGTACATGTGTATGCGTGATGCGTGCGTCCTCTTGTTCTGCGTGTATGAACGATGTACCGGGTGTACACATGACTATACACAGCCGTCGTGTCATCCGTTAGACGTCCACGAAATGTCCATCGATCCGGAAGGATCTCGCTGTTTCCCGAAAGGGATTTCTCTTTGGTTCAAAGGATGCGCGGCCAAAATTAACAGCGCCGTTTGTCAATTCAAACACAAGCATGGCGTACAGCATTGGTCCAGTGTTTTCACAAGATACCCCGGAATCGTTGATCATAATTTTAATAATTGATTCTTTCATCAATCTCAAATTCATTTTTTATTAAAATATGTCCGTGTACTAATAATTTTTTAAAAGCAAAAGTAGAGAAAAAAATTTTCTCTCGAAATTAAATAGAGAAACATTGTTAATTTAAATCAAAATAATTTTTTCCTTCTCAAACTTTTAGTTTGAAATTTAATCACGAACGAATCTAATAGATAGCCGCATAAAAAATTGTTTTAGGACGAAATTTTCTTTCCACGAAATTTCGTCCTAAAAACGCATATTAATTCTAAATTCGTAAAACTTTATATTATTAAAATTAAAGTCGATTCTAGGATATGTATATAAAATGTCTGAAGAAAGACGAGACAAGGAAGAGAAATGGATTCTTAGACGAGGCAACTTTTCTTTAGCAAAGATTTCATTGAATCTACTTTATCGTAACTTTTTAATCTCGAATCTTAAATATCACAATACGTACATTTCTTATTGAGTTCATTGAATTACAGTGAGATTCATTTGGAATTAATTGAAAGATTGAATTTTGCTGTCTGTTCGCGTTCTAAAAGCTTAATTCTCCAACACTGCTGAACTTTGACTTTAAATGAATTTCTAATTAAGGTCACGTAAGAGATAATAATTTTCGAAATCATTAGAATATAGTTTGCTGTTATATAAAGATTGTTTTCATCCTTTTTCCGAAAATAATTTCATATACTTAAAATTTTACATTGAAAATATTGTGCAATCGTCGTTCGAAAAAGTCAGAGTTAACTCTCAGATTGTTTTCTTCATTACGTATAAATTAAGACGATGTTTATTAAAATGCCAATATAAATATAAACTGTAAAAATTTACTTTTTATAAGGAAAAAGAATATGCAAACGAAAGAGAATTGCAAATAAAATATTACGAAACTAAAATGGATATAAAAAAGAATGTTAAAATTTTTCTTATATTTTACTACAATATTTTAAAAAGGTTTTGATTTCAAATTAGAAATTGTTGTTAATTTCTGTGAAATATTTATTTAACAGAATTTATTATATCTATCGATTAGGAATTGAATATTTCTTACTAAAATGTATATGTGTAATATATTTTGATACTAATATTTTTCTTTTTTTTTTACTTGCAGAATTCAGAGGTGTGCTGTATCTTTCCGAAGCCGGCAGCTTTTATGAAGTCAACAGCTTGGTGAGTCTTATTATAATGTAAATTTGAATATCATATTAGAGAACGTAAAATGAAGCGATTCAATAACCGCATAATAATGCAATTGATATCGTAATTTCCCTTCGTTGCTTAGTGAACCGCTTTTTTTGCAACGAAATTAAATTGTCCGATATACATTTAAATAAGAAATATAATTTCGATGAAAATAAAATTATAATAGATAGGTAATTGAAAATTATGAAAATTAAATTAAACGTATGATTAAATGCGATCTCCACATAAATAAATAATTAATCGCGGATATCAGAAATGAAATGTAGCAAACGTCTCAACTATTATGCGTCACGCTTAACGAGATCTTTGAATGATTTAATCTTTAGGCATCGCTCCGCGCGTTAGCGGAATGAACTCGTTTGTGAATACGCAAGGATCTGTTAAGTGCTCATGTTTCGCTCGGAGTTCAATCATTTAAGCCGCGTCGTGTTACATTTTAAACGTCGCCGCGTTAAGTTTGCTCGAACCGAGATACTGCGAGAAACGTGCACTATCTTCTACACTCGTCGCTTAACTTCCAACGGAAAGAGTGTTTTAGCATTAAAATATCATTTTCCATGGGATTCTTGAAACGCCGTCCAGATCTTAAGTCACGTTCGCTCCGGAAGCGAGACGTCTCCTCCCGAATGCGTTCCAAGCGATTTTACATTCCGATTTACTAGAAATTACGTCTACATCAGCGCAGAGATTCCGTTTGAAAAATGTGCAAGAAATATTCCTGAATTTCGAGAAACTTTATTTAAATACGCAGCGGGAGTATGTCCGAATTGCGGAAAATGGCACTTTTATATAGATATAGGTGGGCGGATTTTCCGTGAAAAATGCTGATATTTTTCCCGCTAGATATGGCATGGCTCGACGTATTTTACGATTAATCCAGATAGTATTTTTTTTATCAGCCGTATTTTTCTGACCTAACATAAAACTCGAGCGTGATACTATCTGTTCCGTTACGTTCCAAAAGTAACAACCTAGCCAGCGAGGTTTTAATTTATGAATCAAATTTATTTGAACATCTTTATACTGTACGTACAACGTTAAAACAACATAATTTGATCAATCAAACGAACTAATTAAGTAATTCTACTAAAAGTTTCAACTTTTATAACTTTTGATTTAAATGTTTTAGTATTTTTATAAAAATCTTCTTAATATATTGCAATTTGCATGACAAGAAATTTTTATATAAAATATTGACATTTTATTACGTGAAATATTGCAATTATCTTAAGTGCATTGAAAATAAAAATAACGAAAAGTTGTCAATTGCGCACCAAATATTTTCATAAGGAAAATTTCTTCTAATATTGAGTTTATGTCAATTTGAACATCCAGCATTCATATAATAATTTTTCTTCCAACCACAAAAGCAAATACTATTGACGTAAGTATCGCGAATAATCTATTTACTATCGTCCATAGCGAAAAATATATATTTTTTGTACGTTTGTGGAAAAATGCGCGGAAACGTCAAAAGCCATGTGTCGAGCAGAATGCATCGAATGCTGCGATTGGCGGCGGCGGCGACGAAAAATAACGTGATATATTGAACGAATGGACAGTAATATTGACACACGAACATTTTTGACCATTAAAAATGGCAAAGGGTACTTTGTCACAGTTTAGCAGAATATGAAAAAAAAATGGCGATCGAGTGATATGCTATGTGCAGATCTCGTCGTTCAACTTTCGCGCTGCTAGATATCGGTAATCTGATCAATATTGGATTTTAAAATGCATTTTTAGTGAGACTTGAATGCAAACATAAATGCTGAGTTCAACAGGCGCAATCATAAATCGGCAATATATAGGATATTTATGATTCTTTGCTTTCATGATCTCTGATTACCGATATATTTTGTTTCATTTTTGCAATGAGCAAACACATTGATTTCGATTTGTTCAATCTTCTCGCAAGTCCACTTTAACTTGGGTTTCAATTTATTGCAAAATTGTTTATAATGTAAAAAATTAAGTAATTACTCGAAACTTAGCAAAATTACAAGGAAAATCTTATATTTTAATCAATAATTTTATGAGATCTTTGCTTTAATATAACTTTTATTACCAAGATATTTAACATAAATATTTAAAAAAAACGTAATAGGTAATAAAATCCAATTAAATCTCCGTCAAGATAAAATCGATTGCAATCTCGCTAAAGAATTTGTCATTAAAAGGAAAGGCGAAGAATCTGGGACACTGTGTACTATATCGTATCAAATAAATAATGGTTTGCACTATCAGATCGAATGACGCTATTAAGTACAGCGTAGCGAGATTATTTTGATTAAAAGATAATTTTTGCAATATTGTGAAACTGTCGCTGTCGTGAAGCACTCATTTAAAATTCGTTTAAAGCGCGGAATACATAGTGCGCGTTAATATCAACAAAATCGAAGCAGCTTTGAAACGCGCGATTAATATCCCGGTATATGACGATGCAATTCGATCAAATTTCAAGCCGTGATTACACAAAAGGCTCTAACAGTGAACGCCATTTATTATGTTGTATCATCTTTAGGAGATAAATTACAACCAACGGCGCTATTACGAACTCTACGTGATTAGATAACGCGTGTGTTAACCCATCGATTTCCAATCACATCGGCTGCAAGATTAGCGCTAATCTTGATTAATTTTACTTTCTTGTTCTGTGCATTTCAAGATTAAATTACAATACAAGGAATAGCAGATTGTTGATACAAAATTAATCAATATAGAGAAATCTGTGGAAATCCCGCACCTATTATAAATTCTTTTATAGGTACATTCAGATTTTTTACAAAAATTTTTGCTTTTTTATAAACCATAAAAATGAATCGGAATAAATCACTTTACAGAACGGTTCTTTATAAAAAGACCGAAAAGTCACAAAAAGACTGCGACATGTAGAGACATTGATAAACGTGCTATTTGGCGTTTTTCAAAAATCCACAGATATATACACAAACATCATGCAGATTTCTCATCCGCCCGGGCGAATATTCGTCCTAGTTCCGATGGGACTTTCCTTTTTCCCCTTGTAATTTTCACGTTTCGTGAAATTTGTTTGTAGTCTGTGCAAATTTTTCGTGAAAAAGTCCATTCACTTAAATTGAGCCGGGCGAAGAAAGAGTTTGCTCGGTTGCTTTAAAAAATACATGTTCAATTACCGTTGGTTCGCGAAAACACCCATACTTCACACAATGCTAATGTTAGTTCACCCGGTCAATCTCATAATATCAATATTGATTGGACGCGCGGACAAAATGTCAATTTTTCCACGGGAAAAAAGAAATTTAATTCGATGCTTATTAATCACGTCCGGCACGTAAAATGAACCCCGCGTCATCGTGCATTTTTTTTCTCTGATTAATTCCGATTGCTCGTTAGCGGCGCCATTGAAGCCGAATGCTAATTTAGGAGAATTTCCAAATTACCGGCGGAATAATAGCGCAGCTCGTGCCCGTGACAAATGACGCTCGCACGGCGCGCTTTTAATTGCTCGTTATCCACGGACGTCTAACGGACGGTGTCACGTTCGTGTCGAGTGGGTTAGACATTATGGGTGTCGGTTAGTAGTACAGCTTATAAGCGTGACCCTTAGTCCGAAGTTTTGCATTGAGTGAGTGTGTGAGTGCGCGCACGTACGTGTGTCTTACAGCTACGTTAAGTGTGTGTGGCAAGAAGCTTGTTTAAGATTGTCGCATAGAGTGGCGCGTGTGTCTCGTTACGATAGAAAGAGCAAAGTTAGAACGTAGAGACTTTATATCCCCAGTCGGTGCATAACCGCCCCTGAACCACTGGTGTGCGGTGACGATGCAGATGTGTCTGTATGTGTGTGCGTGTCTGTATTTGTGTCATTATGAGTGTATGCGTGAGCATATAATTAACCAGCTGCAATACAATTTTCATTTACAGGAGAAAAATTGCAGTTGACATTTACGCAGCGATTTTTATTAATTTTCGTATAAATGTGAATAAATCAAATTGTAATAGATGACTAGTTATAGCATTTAATTGTTTTCGATAGAATAAATGTTTTTAAAATAAATGTTTTTACGCAACGATAAAATCGTATTGACGAAGGTTAATTTCTGTGTCAGCTCACTCGCCAGAAAGATGCGAGAAATCGCCAGTATTATTTTCGTTTCGAGTCTCGTGAATCCATAATTTTCCTCTCTTTCCTTTTTTGCAAATAGAAAAGGACAAAGAGAAAAAAAAATTCCTCGCTAGTCGATAAGTGAACGTTTCAATCCGCGAGCGTCACGTAGCGGCGCAAGTCAATTAGCAGATGCTGTTGCTCGCTCAATTTTAATTAGAGAGGCAAAGGTATATAATCACTACTATACTGCCCGATACTCGTGATACGAGACGGTGACTTCAGCAATCAAAGATGCTCTAACTATGTCATCAACTCCAATCTAAATCGATACTCAACTTGCCGTCGAACGGCGCACAAAAAAGATCTCGCCGACAAAAAAGACACTACGAGAACACACTACGCTCTCGAAGAAAAAGGAAAAAAGAGGGAACACAACAGAAAAGAAAAATACGTGATTACACGTTGTAAACCTAACGCAAGATAAGCAACTGACGAAACATGCCCAAAAATTAATTACGGCATTCATGAAACGTATGTCGATGATTGGATGAGTAATGCGTGTCCTTGCGACGAACCAAGATTGTAAATCGCTATACGGAGATAAATTGATAAACTGATAAACCAACCAAAAAAGAAAACAATGGAGGAGCAAAAAATGAAACAACGTATGTACGACATACTGCGGGTACGCTCGACTGCGATTGCGAAGTCAGGCATCGGGGAGTCAACGGAAATTAATAATAACTGCTCCATCATTTGCGGCCACAGCTACTCGATCGACTCGCGACTCCGATCACCGGCGGGTGATGACGAGTCCCGGGCATGAGCGCACACAACGAAAAAACGAGACCAAAGTAAATTTTGAAAAAAGCCAATCCGGTGCTGAGAAAAATTGGAGTAAAAATTCAAACTTAGAAGAGAGAGAGAGAAAAATAAACGAGGCACGCATGAACGATAAACCATGAGAGAGAAATAAGAAAACGGCAACGACTGGTCAAATCAACAATGTAGTCCAGGGAAGCATCTATTCGTAAAACATGCCCAAAAATATGTTTACGGCACACACAACAAATGTATGAGAGATAGATAGAGAGAGAAAGAGAGTTCTGCGTTCTAAAATCCGACGCGGCAGCTCGTCGTGGTTAACAAAATAGCTGGCAACGACTGTAGGGTATACAATATCGCAATATCGAGTCGCAGCGCAGGAACAAACACGTGGCTTTTAAGACACCCATCGCT